ATTTGCATTTCTTCAACTTGACTCAAGACCGTCTTCGAATCCACCATTTTAAAATCAAGGAATCGACCGACAACAAATTTCTTTGCACCGGCATCCTCGCTCTTATATTTGTGGTCCAAAGCATTCTATAGCTCCTTAGCCGTAGCTAATTTACTATACACGTCGTACAGAGCATCATGCAGCCCGTTCAACACGTAGTTTCAGCAAAGGAAGTCAGAATGCTTCCAAGCCTCAACCGCGTTGAAAGATTGCGCATCCACCTCACCCCCGGTTACTACCGGTGCATCCTCGGTCAAGAAACGTGCAAGACCGAGAGTAGTGAGATAGAAGAGCATCTTTTGCTGCCACCTCTTAAAGTTTAACCCATTAAATTTTTCGGGTTTCTCCACAGAGTTGCTCGGCACGGTCACCATAGGGATAGCCCTTTGGTTAACCAAAGTAGATGCACCGCGTTGTGAACTATTGTTCACCGGAGCTCCGCTTTCAGAGTGATTATCGTTCAAACCGTTCAAAGCATTCTGCCCAACAACATTTTCATTTTCTTGAGAAGTCATTTTTCGTTTCTTACGTTATTCGAAAGCACAAAAAAAACAAGTTCGTTCACCAAGGTGACAAAGTACAAGTTTTAAGATTGTTTACCGTAGTAGAACAATCATCGAATACGTTTTAAGATTGTTGGGTGTGTTTCGAAAAACAAAGAAAATTAATTAATAAAGATTAATTAAATAAAATGACTTAAAGAAAAACAAGAAATGAGATGAAGCAGAATAAGCCAAAGCTCGTGCTACGCACGATTTCCTTAAAACGTATTCGTTGCCTCCCGGGGTTCTAGGAGCGTTGCAACGATCGTTTCCCAGGATACGATGACTTCGAACAATAGTTTAGCACTCAAACTAAAGTTCCAACGAACGTGAACAAAAGCAGAACACCGAAGGAGTTTGTATGGAGTGCTAGAGGTGCTGTTTTAGCTATGAAAATACGTGAACGAAGTGTATGAAAAGTTGTGTCTTTGCAAAGCACCTACTAGCCTTTTATAGGGCTGAATTAAGGTGTGTTAATGGCTGTTTAAGGGTTATGATCGTTGGACATCAATGTCCTAAACGTTGGGCATTGATTCCAGTCCTTAAACAACCCAAAACGTTCATATGAACGTTGGGACATCAATGGCAGCATATAGACGTTGGGCATTTATGTGCATGGAGCAAAAATTAAAGTAGGAACGTACCGGAAGAACAAAAATTAATGTTATCTTTAGAAGATAGATTTTCGGACAGCATTCGTGTGTGCAGGTCGCCCGCACACCAACTTCGAAAAACAATTTCTCATTCACCCGTTATCCGTTTTGAGTGTACCATATATCGAATTGTAGCCCTTAGCAAGGACAATCCAAAACCACTTTGACCCGACCCAAATCGGAAGTGGACCCCACTCAAATAATTGCCCCAAAATGACCATTTAATACACTTTTAACACACTTTTTCCAACATACTTTGCCTAGAAAGTATGTGATATTTTTTTTGAAGGAAGAAAGTATTTGATATGTAAAGACTACATTAGATACTGTTTTCTTAAGAAAGTCTGCAATTCCAAAGATAATTTCATGCATATTCCCAAAATGAGAAACTTAAAACCATATTTGAATTTAAACAACATAGAGGAGATTACAGCAACAAGCATTAATATATTTGTGGCGGATACTTATTTCAACCTGAAATAGTCTTTTTTGTGATCTTATGCCCATTAGAGCGGCAGATCAACCTTCCCTTTAATCATAATTGAACTATAGTGACCGAGAGAAAGAAAATAGGTGATGAGAAAGGGAAATGAAAATCAATATAAAGGTGCATAGAGAACAAATGAATGACCTTTTCAAAAAAAAAAGAGAACAAATGAATTTTTTCATATAACTATTACTCCATTTGTCTAATTCTAAGTAAATTTTACTGTAATTACGGAGTATTAAAATTGATTTAACCATTGCTACGAATGATTTAATTTTATCTCCAGTTAACCTCAAAATGCTCAAATCAAAATTGAATTTGATAGAGATGAAGTACACCATTCATTTATACTTATAATCTTATACTTCCTCCGTCTGGTTTAAGATTGTCTTATCTTTTTTTTGGTCCGTCCTACTAAGATTGTTTCTAGCCAAATTTGATAAAGTTTGAGTAGTTTTAAACATTCATACTTTCTATTTTTACTTTATCATTTCAATATCAATCATACAAACTCACATTTCTTAATAAGTGTGACACCTTCTTATGTTGCAATGTTAGTGGGATAGAGGTAGTAATAAAATGTATATCTTCCGTTAATATTTTAATATGCATTATATCATAAATAATAATACGTATACAAGTATATTGTTGTCCAATGCGGTATTTCCCGTGCATCGCACAGGTACTATACTAGTAATTAATAATATTAGTAACCAAATAATCTAATACGTAGTACAGCATATAATCTATTATACTACGTAATTATATTGATCACCTCATCATGAAATATACATTTCACGGAAGGTGGGAATCTATCATGGACAGAAATATTATAAACACACACATCAAGTCCTGCCTTTATCACTCCACAATCCACACGCTAACCATCTTGATGTTTGATGTTAACTTTATGCAATTCTTTCGATAGATGGTTTAGCGGTTCAGCCTTACACAATTGGCAACATCTCATATATATACTCCGTATTGATCTTCCCATGGAACCTGTCTGGACGCATTATAAGACAATACATTGGGATGAGGAACATTATTACTCTGTATTACTGTTATACTTTAATTAATGCATACAGGCAGTGGCGGACCCACTAAGGGTCCCACGGGGTTCCGGGACTCCATGGACCTCCAAAAAAATACCTATATATATTTGTATATATTTTATATAAAATTAAGTAATCGGTGTATTTATACAATCGAAACTGGTTTAGAACACAAATACAAAGCTAGAATAATGGTTGGATGTTCAATCTTAGAGTTTTACACGTGTTGGATCAACCTGCCCACCTATTGTTATCATGCACCTCTATTGCCCAACTTGTAATCTAATTTTGTCAACCTATGCCCAATTTTTTCATAAGAAATAATACTACTATAAACCAGTATGTATCCTCAAATTTCAGCTTATTTTTTTTATAAACTAATTTCGTCATGAAACACGCAATTCTTGAATTCACGCACTGAATTTGTAATAATTAAAATAAGCAAGTTAAAAACATTTTTTCAGCGAGATGACTGAAGTTACCGTAGATCATCATCTTAGCCACTTTTTCATATGACTTTTTTCATATCTTATAACATATAATTTAAATATCATTCTTTCCTAATATAGCAGATTTAATCGCTTGAGCCATAATCGCATAATTTGACTTGATGTGGTTTGATCTAAGACTAAAATCAATCCAATAACAAAGTCCTTAAAGTTACACAAATAAATTGGTAATTGTATTAAATTAAAATAGAAAAAAGCTAATGAATATATTTTAAATAAAAATCCAAATAAAATAATGCGAAGTAATTGGATCGGAATTTTCAAATGTAGGCTTTTTTGAATTTGATTTCTCATATGCATGCCCATTTTTTTAGTTGATAGAGGACATTAACTTTATAAAATTTTAGTGCCCGTTTAGTGACTCAGTTTTTCGGCTTATCAACAGACTTTTTAACCAAACATGTAACTTTTGATTTTGCGCGCTGAATTGTGTAATAATAAGAAAAATAAAGTTGAAGTTACTTTTCAGGCTGTATTGACTGAAGTTGTTGTAGATGACCATTTTATCTATTTTTTCATATCATTTCTTCTTTATTTTATTAATATAATATATTTTAAATTATTTTTTTCATAATCAGCAGAAACAGCCAATACAGTCACTTCAGTTAGAACTTCATAAATTTAAGTAGAATCAGCCGATTCAGCCGATTCAGCCGATTTCAGTATTACCAAATGAGCTCTAGTTGATAGTGGACATTTATTTAAAATTTTGGAATATCTTTAAAATTGTTGTATACGTTAACTATGAAACGTTATGCTATTTTAATATTTTACTTCTTCTTTTTATTACTTTTTTATTAATTCGAGTTACATTACAGTAGGGACCCCGTGTATCTGAGTTTCTGGGTCCGCCACTGCATACAGGCTCACTATTTAGTTCCCCAGTGTAAAATTTTATTGTTCATTATATTAGAAAAATTGCCTCTAAGAGAAGCTATTAGGATTTCTTTGTACGGCTGGATGGCTAGCTGAATGTTTTGGCGCTATCTTTTTCTGCAAGATTCCTTTTGCTATTATATTTATATATATAGATTATCATCGTCGTCGTCGTTGTTATTATTATTAGTAGTAGTATTATTATTATTACTAGTGTTATTATTATTATTATTATTAGTAGTAGTAGTAGTAGTAGTTGTTGTTGTGTTATTGTTGTTATTATTAATACACTTATTGTTTTATTATAATTACTATTTTTTAATTATAAATGAATAAAATATGAGATATTACCCGAAATAAGACTAAAACAGTTTGAAAATTCCAAAATAGGACTGTCATGTTTTTATTCCCAAAATAGGACTAATTACTGTCATGTTTTGGCAGTACCAGACTTCAAACATGTCAGTATTTTCTAAACATGTCAGTAATTAGTCATATTTTGGGAATAAAAAACATGAGAGTCCTATTTTGGAATTTTGAAACTGTTTTAGTCCTATTTCGAGAACTTTCCCATAAAATATAATTATTTATGGATTATAATATATATAAAAAAATAAAATCTATGAAAAAATATAAAAAGAATTCAGACCAGACCAGACCAGATTAAAACAGACCAGACCATACTAAAACAGACCAGACCAGCCAGACTAAAACAGACCAGACCAGCAAATTACAGTTCAAATAAAAACATCCTTACTCCTATTTAGGAATTTAAGCAACATTTCAATCCTATTTAGGGCAAAAAACTATAAGAGATATACACACATTCTTACACATACGTACACTGATATAGATGAGTTGACTGTTGACCAAGTCTTCCGTGAAATACGAGTGTCCAAGAAGTGGTCATACTTGTCCTGCTCGATCTTTCCTGTTGCCTCCTTTTCAAACCCCAGAAGTTAGATTAGACGAAATTTAGTTAGCAAAACACAGAATCATTGATGGGTAGAAGTTAAGCATGCGTAGATCACTGTTATCTTCACCGATTGAAATTGCAATTGCAATTGCAGCTGGGGTGAGTTGCTTGCTGGTGATGAGCGTGGCTTCAATACCCACTGCCAGTAAATGCATTGATGGGGAAAGGGAAGTGCTCCTGAAGTTTAAGCAAACCATTCATGGCAAACTAAGCTCTTGGGACAGCCACAATGATTGCTGCGATTGGAAGGGAGTTGGGTGCGATAACTTTACTGGGCATGTCGTCAAGATCGATCTTTCTGGTATGTATCTGTCCACGAAAGTTAGACATACCAGCATTCCATTCATTGAGCTGAGCTATTTGAAGTATTTGGATCTTAGCTCTAACTATAACTTGCTGGAAAACCAGACCATCTCATCATTGATGGAGAACAACAACAATAGTAATAGTAATAGTAATAGTAATAGTATGGTTTCCCTTCAACATCTCAGCCTTAGTCAAATCGGAATCATTGGCAGTATTCCTGAAAATTTTGGAAACCGCCTGCCTGCCCTCACACACCTTGATCTCAGCATGAATGGGTTAGAAGGTTCTATTCCTGAAATTTTTGGTAATAACATGCCTGCCCTAGCACACCTTTATCTCTGGGGTAATAGTTTAGAAGGTGCCATTCCACACTCTTTGTTCAATGTGTCAGCACTGTACCTTGCTTGGAATAAGTTCACTGATCTCAACTCCCTGTGTGACATTAGGGCAGCTGCTGCTTTGCGGATTTTGGATATCTCATTCAATCAACTTTCAGGAACGCTTCCGGATTGTTGGTCAAATCTCCCTAGTCTAGCATTTCTCAACCTGGCAAACAATCACAATCTGTCGGGGAGTCTTCCCACCTCCATTGGTTTATTGGCTTCCCTGGAGGGATTGCATCTTGACCACAACAATTTTACAGGCACTTTACCATCATCCATGGAAAACTGCTCCAGCTTGGTAGTTTTACATTTGGGACACAACAAGTTGTTAGGACCAATACCAGATTGGGTGGGTGAAAATCTAACACCGCTTACTGTACTTGTGCTAGGATCCAACCACTTCAATGCAAGTGTACCTACAAGTCTGTGTCGTCTCCGATCACTTCAATTGTTGGACCTGTCCGTGAACCACATCTCAGGGACACTTCCTGACTGTCTTGCTAATCTCACTGGAATGACTGTCCATGAACCACATCCCAATGCCACTATTTCTTATGGAGGCGTTAGCCAAGGTGACGCAATAGATATTGTATGGAAAGGTCGGGTCATTCAACTTCAAACTACACTAGGACTCATAAAGAGCATTGATCTATCATCCAACATGTTGAGTGGTGAGATTCCAACTGAAATCACATCGCTAGATGGATTGGTTTCATTGAACTTATCACGAAACAATCTAAGGGGCCCGATTCCTCCAAGGATTGATAACTTGTCAAACTTAGAAACTCTTGATTTGTCTCATAACCATTTGTCTGGTAGCATTCCTCGAAGCCTTTCCCTGATTCATCGCATGAGTTTTCTCAACGTATCCAACAATAACTTATCAGGAAAAATCCCGGATGGCACTCAACTTCATAGCTTTGATGCAAGTACATACACGGGGAATCTCGGGCTATGCGGAGATCCACTCCCTAACAGCTGTCGAAGAGAACCAACTCATCCTAATATAGAAGAAGCGGATAAGTTTTTTTGCCATGACTTTTACGCAAGCATGGGGGTTGGATATGCGGTTGGATTTCTGGGAGTTATTGTGAACATGCTATTCATCGGGTCCTATAGGTTTGCATATTTCAAACTCCTTGATGACTTTGCTAATTGGGCTTATGTTGTGGCTGCAATCCATAAGGCAAAGTTTGTGAGAATACTTGGGGGTTAATAGATCAGGCTAAACACCTTTATTTTACAAGAGCATTTTTTGCCCTTGCACATGCTCTAAGAAGACAGTAACAAATATTCTTTTATGAATGTACTCTCTTATTGTTTTTCTGATGTGCTTCAAATTGGAATATATGTCATAGGTGTTGAGGAAGAGATTGAATGAGTGGAAGAAAAAATTGCTCAGAGTGTAAAAACACAGTTCATGACCGATGCAATAAGATGTGATTGGTGAGGATCTCGTCATCTATAGCCAATAAAATTTATTTATATTACCTATTTTCAAAACTAAAAAAAGAAATTAAAAAGGACCAAAAGCATGTCCGGTTAATTACTCGTAGCACATAGAAAATTGAAATGATGAAATAAAAAAACTGTCATTTTAGTTCCTTATAGATTTGGAGCCCGTTTGGTAGCACGAAAATCGGCTGTTTTGGCTGATTCTGCTGAAATTTATGAAGTTCTGGCTGAAGTGGCTGCATTGGCTGATTCTGGTGATACAAGAAAAAAATATTTTTAAAATATACTATCCTCCGTTCCATAAAAGTTGCAACATTTTGACTTTCACATTTGCCAACGCGTAACTTTGACTGTAATTATATTTATTTATGAATTAGTAAACATTAAAAAAAGTTAATATATTGGAAATTTACATTAATAATAATTTATTAATATTTTATACATAATATTTTTATTATATATACTATTAGAAAATCGTAGTCAAAGTGAGATGTGTGAATAGTGCAGAAATTCCAATGTTGCAACTTTTATGGAACGGAGAAAGTATTTTATTAATAAAATAAAGAAAAAATTATATGTAAAAATAACTAAAATGATCATTTACAGTAACTTCAGCCAATACAGCCAGAAAAGTAACTCCAACCTTACTTTTTCGGCTTATTACACAATTCAGCGCGCGAAAGCAAAATTTACGTGTTTGGTAAAAAAGTTGGCTGATAAGCCCGATAAGCGGAAAATGAGGGTTGCCAAACGGCCTCTAGATGTCTGTGTTCATCATACAGGCTCGCAGTACACTTACAATGATTACTCATTCCGTTCAAGCATTTCAAGTTTTTTATAAAACTGAAATATGCATATATGATTCTATTACTCACATCGGTTATCTTAGTCCACACAAAATATCAATGCTTATACGGTTATACGGTTATACCTATACGGCTATACTAACCAAGTATGTTTCATATATGCACCTCCGTTCATTAGGTTCACCCAATCCAAATCAGAATAATATAGTTTTGTATCCTAAATAAGTAAATGAAAAAACACTATATTGATGAAAAGATAGTAGACTTTATAAATCATTTTAGAATGGAGAAATAGCTGCCAAAGAGAGCACCAATGATGGAATATGTGTACTCTAGCTTAGGTTATTTTTACTTGGACCGTAATTCGTCCCAAACCAGACCAAATTAAAACAGACCAGATCAAACTAAATCAGATCAGATCATATTTTATTATTATTATTATTACTATTACTATTACTATTATTATTATTGTTATTATTGTTATTATTATTGTTATTATTATTGTTACTATTATTATTACTATTATTACTATTATTATTACTATTATTATTATTATTATTATTATTATTATTATTAGTAGTAGTAGTAGTAGTAGTAGTAGTAGTAGCAGCATTGTTATTGTTGTTATTATTAATACTTGTACTATTTTATTATTGTTTGGTTTAGTCTGTTCGTATTTTAAGTCACATAAGTGACAGAATAATATAGATGATCTTGATTTTTGTAAAAAACAAAGAAATAAAAATAAATAAATAAAATCTTGATTTGTAAAAAAATTGTATGATAATGGGTAAACTATAAATCTTTTTAGAACAAAAAAAGTACTATAAAATAATAAATATCATCATGCATCTGTTGCTCTGGGTTTCTGAACGTCTTCCCAAATTTGTTTCGCAATTTCCATGCGAACATTGTTCATAGCTTCTTTTTGTCCATCTGAATCAACCATGCCTTCTCCATTCCCTTCATGTTCATAAATCGGCATTCCCATTTTGCACATGCTGATAAAATTATGAAGTGTAAAAGTAGAGAAAATAATTGCTTGTTGAAGCTCTTCTTTCATTTTGGGCATATTGTGAAGTATCTTCCACTTTTTCTTTAGATGCGAAAATGCTCTTTCAATGGTAGTTCTCAGTGATGAGTGACGATAATTAAAATGTTTCATTACTCCTCTTGATTTACCACTGACATGAAATTCTGGCACGTGTTTACTCATTCCCGCATCATCAAATGGAGCTAAATATCCAAGTGTGTTTGGATAGCTTGAATCTACTAAGTAATATTTACCTACATTTTAAATTGACTTTGTTAAAAGGATACTATTTTATATTTACAAAAACCTTTGATAATAAATTTATTTGTATTTTATACCTGGTGGGGATGAGGAAAATGATATTTTGATTGCATTAAGGAATCAACGCACACTCTTACGTCGTGAACGCTTCCTTCCCAGCCAATATTGACAAACGTGAATAGTTTATCAAATGAACAACATGCTAAGACATTCCATGTTTTGCTTCCTTTGTGTCCTCGACACGGCACCCCCTTTGCATTTGATATAACTGCTTCTATGTGAGTACCATCTAATGCTCCAACTGAATCCTAATACAATAAATAGAAAACATAAATAAAGTCTAACACATATACAAAAATAAATTAGTTTTCATTGACTTTTAAAAACGTTGAATAGTTCATAAATATACCTTGAAATACGGCCAATATAAGGAACTGTTGAAAACTATGGTGTGGACGTCCAACAAATTGTGATGTGGTCGAATTATGTCAAAAGATAACTCTAACCAAGGCATGCAATACTAGATTGAAATATTTGCATACGGTTCTCAAAGAATGCTTAAAAACATCAGCTGCATCTGTGTAAGAAGCTCCCTTGGCCAATATATAGAGACCAATTCCAATTTGCTCTGCCACATGAATGAACCTGCTATCTTTCAATAAATTTCTTTCAACCATAATATTCACAAGGTGGATGAACATTTCTCTCGTCAACCTTAATTGCTCTTGATATGCTTTCCATCTATCTAAGTAACGTTCTTCTACTTAACTTTACCCGTAACTGGATCAAAATTTATGTTAGTGCAATTTTGAAAGTCGACCCATGCTTTATATTTATCTTTCAACTCATTAAAGTGATTTCACGCTTTCTTACAATAAAAAAGAGCACCCGTTTGTGCATGAAGGTTGTTTACAATTTTATTCCAATCATATCTAGTATTTCCTTTTGCTTTTTCTTCAGTATATAAATCTTCAAAATTGTAGTTGTACTGGTGTCATACTGGTTGCCTGGATGATTTCTATTTAGTGTTTGGTAAATCTGTTAGTAAGGAAAAGTACGCGGTTTTTCTCTCAAAGACTATCCCCGCGCCTGATGCAATGTGTATGACTTCATCTCTTGTCATTAGGGCTGCACATCAGGCGGGTTGGATCAGATTTGTTATATTTACTGGCATTAGGGTTGCACAACGGTATGCAATATAAATTGGTAGACCATATATGAATGGATCATGTAAGGTCGGGTATTGAAAAAAATCACTTCGAACTTGAATTTTAATGTGTGCAACTAGTGCTGCCAATTTTCAACCCGGTTAACTTGTTTTCAATGTACAAAAAGAAATACAAGTACCTTTTATAAGCATAAACTTTGGGTAATACACTAATACCATAATAATATAAAAACAACCTTGTGTAAAAGAAGTTTATTAAGAAGCAAACGTAAAAATAAAATAATTATGTAGTCAAAATGATAAATATTTATAATTCCAATATCATAAAGTCTTAGACAGAGCACATCGGTCTTAAATAGAAAAATTCCAACAAAACATTGTAGCATATTTTTTTAGTCCCGATAGGCAAAACACCAAAATCAGTGGGTTAAATGTCGGGGAACATTTGCCAAGATATTATTAAAATAGAATAAAGTGAATACAACTAGAGAGGGGACTAGGCCAAAAACCCTCTTCCGAAGAGGCATACCTCTTCAAAATACAATAACCAACAAAAGATAAAGATTTCGAGGGACTAGACCTGACCCGAAAAAAATCCAACAAAATAGCTAAAATCTAAAAGATGGACTCCAAAGAAATCCATCCAATAAGCCCGTTTAGCAAAAACCGTTAGCTGAGCTGGGCTGCTAAAATTACAGAAGTGGACCCACTTCTTCCTTGGATCACACACTATATGAAGGAAAAGAGTACTAGTCTCCTAGTCTTCTCTTTGAGGTTGTCGGTCTCTTTGGAAAGCCAAGAATGAAGCTATATTTACATATATTTGCACCACCCCGAGACTCTTGCATAGCGTATCCAACATTGCGTGGAAACTATTGAGGAGGCCTTGATACGTGACTAGTGTATAGGTCCACCCCACCAGAACGGTGGTCGATCTCTTGGCTGTCAGCCCTGAGGCTGGACATGCAGGTGCAAGAGGTTTTTCTTTGATTTCGATTGTCGTTGCTTAGCAGCATACTCGATGAATATGGAGATTTGCTCGATCATCAGGGCGGAATTGAGAGCTACTGTGCAAGGATTATAGTTCGCTCGGGAGTTTGGGTACCGTCAGGTATGAGTGCAGCTGGACTCATATGCTGCGATTGAGCTTTTGATGGCGCAAGGTGAGCGCACACTCCAACACTCTTCTGAAGTCGCAAAGTTTTGTAAGTTGTTAGCTCGAAATTGGACGGTCAAGGTTGAGCACATTTATCGGGTTGACAATTAGGACACATGCTTTTTAGCTGGCCCGAGCCATAGATTACTTATTGGTGTTCATTCTACTCCCTCTCTACCCTAAAACTTGGCCAAATTTGACCGATGTGTGGATTATTAAAATAAAAATTGTGTGGTTGAAGTTTTTGCAGAGGAAAAAGAATTAATTGGAACAAAAAAATATTTACTTAAAAGGTAACTTGACAAAGTTAGTGGGACAACCGAAAAAGAAAAGTTGACAAAATTATAAGGGACATGAGAAGTATTTTTAATGTTGATACTAATTTATCGTTACACATTCTGTATGACTTACTTGGAGTTTTCCAACTTCGTTTATTCCTTAATGAAAGGTAGAAACTAATTCACCTATGACCTATGTTGCAAAGAAATGCGAAAATTACGAGGAAACGGGAAACACGAAAAAGGCTTGTTTGAAGAATTTTCAAAGAGTTTTCGTAGAGTTTTTGAAACAGAAACGTAGTATTTCCTTAAAGTTTCCATGCTAAATAGGGTATGACTTTACCAAAAAAGCTTGCAAAATGAAAAGCAGAGGACCTCATAAATCATAGTTTAGGCTTTTCATTCACCATCATCATCCTCGTCATAACTTTATCTCTTC